GTTGTTGCCGTGGTAGTTGTTCGGGTATAGTAACCTGATTTGTAGGCTGAAGACATCTTCAGCCCATCAATTATCTCATCTACACGAGATATTGCTTTTAACATCTCCTCGTTTGAGGAGAAGTCTGCTCTGATTCTATCATGAGCGATCATTTCCCTCTTCCATTCAAGGGGAATGTAGTTTAGGAACCTGGCGTTGAAGGACGCCTGGTCTGGAGGCGTCACCATCTGGGACGCTGCTTTTGACAGTTCTAAGTAGAACTGTTTTAGGCCTTTTTCCGCTTCGTTTTTGACGTTGCGGTATTTCTTTGTCGCATTCAACATGGCGGAGGCTTTGATGAAGGTTCTCATCAATATGTTGAGAACTTCGAGGAACATGCCCTCGTCTCCTCTGAGGAGAGTTTCATCTCGGAGTCTAATTCCGAGGTCAAACGCGGGTCCCCCTAATCCACGAATCAAGCAGTCCAGGTGGACTTCGTTGAATTGGGGACCTTTGCATCCTCGTGAGGCGAGGAATCCCAGTAGTTCTGTGAACCACTGCCAGAACGATTCCATGTCGTTCCCCCCTGACCATTTCTTGTCAGGAAATGCCGGCCCATTCTTTAGGGCTTCTGGCTTCACTCCTTCTGGGTAGGGAGTGAGTATTCTCACTTCGGCCATTCTTATGGCCTTTTCGTACCATTTCTCCAGGTACTCTTCTTGCTCCCCTGCCTTTGCGGGGTCGCTATCCAATGGAGATTTCTCCTTTGGGGGGGTTTTTGCTGGGGGAAATCTTCCTCGCAGCGTTTCTTTGGTTTCAGGCGAATTTGCCTGAAGTTGTATTTGTATTCTCTCATTGTTTTGAGAGGGTGTGAATGAGTTACCTCTCTGTTCCAGAGGTCCGTCATAAGTGGATGTTTGGCCAAACCTTTGGTACGTGCCAATTCTCCTTCTAATCTCTGAACGATGCCTTCTTTCGGCATCGTCTTCTCCTATCCTTGGGAGAAGGATCTCCTTAGCATCTCTGTCGAGTTGCTGATGATATTCCAGTGTGCTTTCACTGGTGGTTCTTTTCGTGAATTTTTCACAAGTTCTATTTATGTCCTGGACCGTGGTCCAGGGGTGTCTATTTGTTTCCTCACTTTTTTGTGAGAAGTTTATTTCCTTCAGCAAATCTGTTTGTTTGCTGATTTTTTCAGTCAACGCATCGATTGCGTTGGCCATTCTTTCTAGAGTTATCTCTAGATGAGCCGTGCTATTATGGTTCGTTTCCTCGATCTTTTTTTGGATCGAGTTTATCGCGTTTATTATGCGCGATTCCTGGTTTTCCAGGAGGAAGTTTGGTTGGGCGAGCAGTGACTCTCCCCAGTTGACATTTCCGCTTCTGGGGGTTCCAGAATGGGTTTTTGGAGTGAACACTCCATGCTCGCTTTGTTTAGGCGAGGCCATTGCAGAGGGTGCTTCCCTTTCATAGAGGGGTCTGTTCGCTGGTTTCTCCTTACTTTTACGTAAGGCTTCCTCAGCGAACTCCCTCATTTCAGTTCGCCTCCTCTTCATTATCTCGGAGACCTCCTCCGAAGTTGGTGACCTTGCCTTGTCTGGCATGGTGTGTGGGAGTGTAAACAGCAGAAGTTCTTTTGGAGCTTCCGTGCTCTGGGAGATCCTGCTCTCAGGGCGTATTTTCGTGCCTTCTTGGGCTTTCAGCCTGAGAAGAAGTTGATCTTCACTTTCCGTCCTCCATTCAGATGGAACCTGGAACAAGTCCAGTAGTTTTTCGGATAGCCGTCACAGGGGCTCTTCCCTTTGTTTCCCTTTGTCTGCCTTTGGGGCTTGACTTGGGGACGTGAGGGGGGACTCCAGGGGATAGTGGGGCCCTGGAGTTTCCTGCAACTCTATCCGATCAGCTTTTTGGGCTGATCGTTCGGTGCTTACGCATTTTTTGCGCAAGTCGACCACCTCATGAGGAGGTGATGGATCTTCCCCAGCTTGGGTTAGATCGGTATGTTGTGGAGTTCTGGGGGTAATTGGCCCCGCACTTACTCCACGTAAGTTTCTAAAACCTTCAGGGACCAGCCCTGAGGTGGTTGCTATTGCCGGATCATGTTGATCCTCATCGTCGTCTGACGACGGCTTTTGGTTTGAATCTCCCTTGATGGGAGATTGCGGTTTCTTTATAAACCACTCGTTTCTTTTTAGTGTCGCTGCAGATGCGACCTTGCCCTTGCGGGCGTGTTTAGGCGCCATAGGCGCTTCCAAGTCAGATGTTAAGATTGTGTAGTTGTGGGTTGTGTTGTAAAACACACCTCATGCACTTAAAAAAGTGTGAGGTCTTAGGGTGGCTCAGCACACAAGGCCGTAAGTGATACAAGATAGTGTATTTTACGGTGGTGTGTAAGTGGTTACCCGGAGGTTCCCACTTGCCCACATGACTATGTGTATCTAATTTACATGTGACTCGGGGTTCGGGGCTATTGCCCTGACAGAGTGCCCTGGAGTACCTAGCCAACTCCGGAGGAAATGGGCTGTTCCTGGACCGGCCAATCTCCTCCTGATTCTCCCAGTGCTCTCGATACTCCGGAGCACTCAGGAGCATAACAATTTTTTGCTGATGCAGGGTGGTGTCACAGGAGGTCATACCTTGGCAGAGATTAGTCAGGAGAGAGTTGGGAGCAGTGGAAGGTGGGGTCAGGAGTGACGACCACAGGATTTCCAAAACTCAGCCAGACATCGATCTGAACAGCCAGGATGCAGCCCACAGAGCTACCCACCTTACTGACGAACTATATTTCCCCCGATTCCCTGAGAGCCGATGTTTTATGTGTGGCAGCATAGGTCACCTCATTAAAGATTGTGCTGAAATGAAAGCCTTCCCCACAGCTGGTGTACTTAGTGAAGTCCAGAGGATTCTATCAAACCAAGAGTCCAGCTCCGCTAGTCTACAATATGGATCTGCGTCATCCGAATCGGACTACAACTCAGACACTAGCGAGCCTGTCTATGCAAGTGAAGTTTTCCGCTTGGAGTCAGCAACATGTGAAGTCTCCGACTCAGATTCGTGTCCCAACGACGAGGACTGTTGTGGAATGGCTCACGATGCCCCTGACCTGGATTCACATCCTGACAACGGGGATTTCAACAGGACGGCATGCCTTGAAGCGCTCCAGGATCCAGACCTGCATGTTGATGCAGAGAAACCCCAAGAGACAATCTATAAGAGCTTCAACTTGGACGCATATCTCAGTGGTGACACTTCCCATGAACCAGACGATGCCTATGACCCAGATTGGGACCTGTATCTCGCAACCACCAAGGATCCAGACATGATCGCTGAGGTCCAAGCTGAGGACCTGACACCACCTACTGACGCTTACAAGATGGGATATGAGGACTTCCGTCTCGAGTCCTATGGCAACGACAGGAGTAGTATGTGCTCCTTCAGCACTAGTGATCAAGCTGAACATCGGAAACTCTCGGGATCCGAGCACTTTTGCGTTGGCACTGGTGTGATGTTTGAGCAACCCGCATCTCTATCTATCGGAACCGCTGAGGTTCAAGAGGAAGAACGCAGCTGCCCTTGCACCATGTTCCTTGATGCTGGCAGCGAGTTGAATGCTACAATGAGCAATCCAGTGCGCATACTTGAATTTCCCTTTGATCTAAACAGTGCTATGCGGACGCCTAGAGGAGTGTGTGGGCATCAAGTCGTCTTAGAAGGATCTTGCAAAGACAGGCTGGTGACCGATGGAAGAATCGAAGTCCCCCACAATGTCCTTGCCATCCAAGGCGCTCTATGTCGCAGAGTTGCATTTTCAGAACAACCCTGCATCAGGAAATTATTGCGGTCAACTTTGGACACTTCTGATGATCCTGTTGCTTCTAATACCATGAAACTGGCCGAATTGACCAATTTCCCAAAGCATTTTAGTAAAGGTGTCACGTTTCAATTCAGTTCAGAAGTGAACTCAATTGTTTTCAAACCATTTGAAGTGAAACCCTGAGGACCTTTTGCTGATGTGGCTATTCGGCCACTATACATGGATTGAGTACATGTGCAATGAAGGAAACCGAGCCAGTAGCGCCTCCGCCCGTCCCAAGTACGCCATTGTAACTGTCCTTCAAGACATGTACCCCGCCCATGCACGCTGCGATGCATTTTCTGATACTGTTGTGTGTGAGATCGATGCAGTTGAACCTAGGACAGATCCCCCAGAATCAGAACCGCTGCAATCCCTGAGCCACCTCACGTTCATGTTCCCCAGGCCAGACCTAAAGCTTAAAGAGCTAAGGCCTGATGGCCTCGATTATGTGCAGGCAAGCCATGGAATGGAAGATCGAGAGGTAGTAAGAGCTCCCAAGGCCGCTTGGACGCTTCCTAAGACAACACATGGCCAAAAACTTATGGAGTACATCAAGAAGACCGAAGCCTCTGAGTCGGAGCCACTACAGGTGGATGAGACCCAGCCCGATAACCTTCCGCTGCTTAGCAAGGATCCGATTCCCAGCAACATAGTATTCAAGAACTTTGACCTCGAGCCTTATGCCATTGAATGATAGCGGTGGCACTTTCCCAATTGGCGCTGAGGATTGTTACCGGAAACTTTTTGATTCAGAGCCCATATGCGAATTTGGACCCCAAGTCGGCCGTCAATTCCAAACCCCTTGTTGAAGCCACGAGTCACCGGAACCTTCCGGGGCATTCTGGATTATTGTGGGAAATCACTAGAATATTCCCGCTTAGTCTGTGCTTGCGTACGCACGCTTGCGCAGTTACTTATTTTACCTATAATATCATTGTAATACATTTCGTGTATGTATAAATACACACAGATGTGCGTTGAGCAGAATCATCAGAAAGTTTTCTAGCTTACCTCTGGTCTCGCGAGTATAACCGCTGAAGTAAGCGGATTGCCTTATCAGGAACCCCTACATTACAACACCCCTGCTATTAGATGCGACATAAACGTCGTTGAGCCTGGAACAGACCTTCAGGCTTCCTTGCCGTCAGAATTTCTAAGTCATGTTATGTCAACATTCACCGCACCAGACACTAAGCTTAAAGAGCTAAGGCCTGACAGCCTCAGCTATGTTTCAGTCCCAGCTAAGGAAACGTTGGAGACCTTCATATGCAACACCACTGCCGCTTGTTATACGCCCACTGCAATGGAATTCCCTCCATTCTCCATGTGCGATTCTGGACTGCCGGAGCAAAAGCTTAAAGAGCCAAGGCCTGACGGCCTTGACTATGTGCTAGAAGATCAGAAAGCAGCCCATACTGAGGATTCAGGAGCTGCTGGAGGTTCTTTGGCTTTATCTGGTCCGAATTCCACGGGATTTGTCGAGCACACCGGTACTGCTAAGGGAATGGCTACAGCTCAAGATTTCCCGCACATGCATTATGAGCCCGTTGCTGTGGAGTCATCGCCTGTGATTGTTCAGAACTCAGAGACTGGATGCGCCACTGTCAAGCCTGAATCAACGGAAGCCACAATGATAGCTCGCATAGTGCCAAAGTCTTTCACTGGACTTGAAATCTGTTTTCTTGCCAACTTCTTGACTGCACAAGAGAAGCCCATTGTCCATGCCGAAGTCACTGAAGTCATACGCCCGCCAGAAAACTGCGAACGCCCTAGTAGGAGCCACCTGGACGGTAGATTCTTCGAAAGCGGATGCCCACTGTGCAGGTAGGGGGTGATCGTCTCGCCCGGCGTTCAACTTCTTTACTAACTCAGGGATCTGCTCCTGCCGATCATATGTGAGTTTCAACTTCTCGTAGGTGCGCGTCCCCTTGAGGTCCTTAATAGTCATCAGCTGTATCTGCTGTAACATACCCGCCAAAGCTACGTCAGACGCATCGGTATAGAGCCTATAACCCAACCCTTTCATGGGGTGTCCTCTGACCGGAGCCGTGGCTAGGGTGTATTTCAACAATGAGAAGGCTTGTTTGCATGGCTCGTGCCAGATCCAGGGAGCCCCATCTTTCAATAAGTCAAAGAGGGGTCTGGCAATGAGTGAATATTGAGGTATGAACAAGGAGAAGTAAACCGCTATTCCAAGGAAGGTGCGCAGCGCCTTCCTGTTTTGGGGTTCTTCGATCTCCAGTAAGGCTTGCACCTTTTCCCTGTGAGTGGAGAGTCCCAGGCGGGATACCTTTTGACCCAGTAGCAACAAACTCTGGTATCCTAAATGACACTTGGGCGGTGAAAGCGTGAGGTTAGCCCTCTTTATAGCATCGAGAACTCGATCTATATGTGTCAAGTGTTGGGCGAATGACATGGAGTATACTACGATGTCGTCGATGTACACTAGGGTGAATTGCCACAGGAAAGGAGCTAGACTTCCTGCATGACTCTTTGGAACATGGGTGGGCCGTTTCGCCACCCAAAGGGCATCCTCGTAAATTGAAACAATCCGCGATGGGTACGAAAGGCCGTCTTGTCTCTTGATTCTTGATCGAACTCCAATTGCGTAAACCCTGATAGCGCGTCGAAGGTTGACATGTATTGGGAGCCGGAAATATCCGTTTGTCTTGGAATGGGGAACTCGTCCGGGATAGTGACCTCATTCAGTTTTCGCCAATCCACACAGAGCCTATTCTTCCCTCTTTGGCTGACGATTATAACCGGGGCGCCCCAGGGACTCTGGGACGGCTTGATTACTCCCATCTCTAACCAGGCGTCTAGCTGTTTATCGATGATCTCTCTTTTCAGAGGGGAGGCGTGGTATGGCGGAAGCGAGATGGGTTTTGCTCCTTCTTTTAATGATATATGCACGCGGGCATCATATCGTCCCAGGTTCCCAGCCGTAGCGAAGGCCCTCCTGTGCTTCTGCACCAAGGCTCGGAGCTGTTCCTTTTCTTCGGGCGATAACTCTGGGTTTACGTCTACCACATCCACCAAGGTTTCAGGAAGGACCTCGTCTCCAGGTATCATCTCCACTGTCTTTGGTCCGGCCAAAGCTCCGTCGATATCATGGACTTCCTCGGGTGGTCCCAGGACATTGGCTTCCGCTGCGACAGCCTGTATTAATAGTCCTTTACTCTGGAACTCACGGATCTGAGGCTCGCTTAGTTGTTCGGCGCCATCTAGATCCTCATCGGGATTACACATGGATGCTATCGTAGTCCTGCTCTGGACTTTGATCGGGTATGGGTTCGGATTGGTCAAGGGCAGCCTAAGGGGATGGGCGGTGTTTACGAGCATAGTCGGAGGTGGCAGATAGTCACCCTGCTTCCATCCCGTCCTCCATCCTTCAACGAGGCATACTCCCGAGTTGTGGTCGAAGTTACCAGTGACCCCAACCAGGCGGACTGTGTACGGTTCTAGGGTCACATCCTCCGTGATTTTTAGTCGACCTGTACCCGAGACGTTTACTCGTTTAGGTTCTCGAGAATGAGAAGGACCGGCTATAACTGGATAGGTGGGCGCATGATGGATCTGGCTCTTGAGGGGAACCTGGTGGTCTGAGTCTGCCACTTGCCAGAATTCTCGTTCAGGTGGATGCATGGTATGCAGCTGGAACGCTGTCTGCACGTCTTCGGCTATCAACAGAGGGATGGTCATCCCTTTGAGTACGTAAGCTTCCACACCCCACAACAGGACGTGACCTCATTGTGAGGGCAGGTATAAGTCAATCGTCGTGTAACCTTGGCATTTAGCCTTCCCTGTTAGCTGAACCAAATTCAATTTCAATCCTTGCTTAATGCAGGTGCCTTCTCCTTTAATTCGGTCATACAGGTCAGTCGATATTAGCGTGCAGGCTGCCCCAGAGTCGGCCAACGCTTCTATCTCGATCCTGTCTATTGCATTGATACGACAACGGACTCGACAAGCGTCAGATCCTAAGGACTGCTGACCTGGGGGTTGCTCGAATATCTTACCGGCTTCATATATCTCACCCGGGACCAGGGCGGCCCCAATGAGTCTCTCATCAGGCAGGATCTCCTTCCACGTACAGGCCGCAATGTAAGAAAAGGAAGAATCTTCGGCATTATCTATGTCAGGTATGTCCGACGATTCGGAATCGGACAGGGTACAAAACTCTGTGTAGGCCACTGCGAATTCTGCTTCCTGACCTTCCACTAAGGCAGCATAAGCCCGTCGGTAGGTGCTTTCCAACTTGGACGAGTTGTCACGTTCCTTACGGTCGTTCCTGGCTCGATCAGCCTTCCTAGGGGGACAGTCGTTGTCCCAATGGTTCGCACTTCCACAGTGCCGACACGGTCTGGGCGGTTTCTTCTGCGACTTGAAGTCGCTCGTAGGGTAGGTCTGGCTTCCGGATGCAACGGCGACACTTCTGGTCTCGACACGGTCTCCTCCGCGTTTATTCCTCTCCAAATTAATGCGGGCAACTCGGTTTGCTAAAGCGTCGATGCTGAATTCGTCGCTAGCTACTAATTCGTCATGCTTAAGTTTAGTCAGCTGTAAGAGTTCTTCGGCTGTGTCGACCTGATCGATGTTGAGATGGGCCCACCATCCTTTTGGGATGTCTTCTAGAAGTCTTTGGGCCTCGCCCCTCAAGACCTCTGGTCCGGGAACATTGGCGAGTGGATATAGGATGCGCAAGAGTCGTAGTTTGCGTGTCACGAAGTCGTGTGGGGACTCCTTAGAGTACCTTTCACCCCTACGGTACCTACAAGCGTGGAATCGATCTCGAATCTTGTCGAGGAAGGCGGGTGTTAAGAAGAAATGTAGCACATATCCGTGTAGATCTTCCCAATTGGTGGTAAAATACAACTTGTCGGCGACCGGTACAGTTGACCACCAGTCTGCCAGAGCACCCTTGAAACGATCAGGGAGTACGTGGGTCATTTGTTGGGCGAAAGCAGGTGAGTGCCTGGCCAGGTTCCGACATATGCTGCACCACGTTATATAGCTGTCAATCGAACCATCGAACTCTGGGAAGTCTGACACAGTATATTTGCGATCCACATAAGGTTGCGTGCGGTCGAGAGGAGGAGGTCTGTATCCAGGATTCTGCTGAGGCGCTGCCAACGCTCCAGGTCCGGGAGGCGGAGGAGGGGGCGGTGCCCCAGCATATCTGACGGGTAGAATGTGCCCCGGGTATGGAGCCCCACCGGGCAGAGGAGGTGGTCCAGGTGGAGGTGGTGGTCCTGATGGGGGTGGTGGACCCGCACCTCGTGGTGGCGGCTGCCAGGGGTCGAGAGGCGGTTGTCTCGGATCATGACCTGGATCTCTGGATCCAATGGGTCCTTCATTCGCTGGATGGTGAGGGACATGAGGGGGTTCGGGTCCACGGTTGTCGGGATCAAGTCTCTCCTCGACAGGTTCCAGCTCTGTTTTCCTTCCGACCTTCAGACCTTTCACAAATTCCGTGTAACCCACATTCTCCTTGGGGTTCTCAAAAGCGTTGGTCTCTCGACGAACTGTGACGAATGGCATTGAGGGTTCGTCTCTGGGTAGCATCCCTGCAGCGACGTTAATGCTTGGTCTAGGCACCGGGAAGGCCCTGGACGGGAGGGTGCGTTTACGAACGAAAGTGGTCTCTTCCGCAGGAGATATGAGATCCTCAAATGTAGTCCATCCCGACGGGAGGGCTTCAGGTTGATGAGTGGGTCGCATTTCGGTCGACCATGCCTCCTCGACTTGCCCAGGATCCGTAAACCTGGCGGGCGAGACATTCGCCAACCTGAGTCCACTCATGCGCAACTCGTCAAATTCCTGTGAAGGACGAGCAGCTTTCTTGATGGCATCGAAATGCTTTTCGAAGGAATTGAAATGCTGGTCTAGGAAGTTCCATGCAATGCTGAACTCCTTAGGCGACGACCATCCCCTTATGGTGAATATCAGGGCGAGGTTGCCTTGGGGATCCACTACGAAATCACCCGCAGCTAAGTTGGCCTTGGTGGCTAGCTGGGTGAACTCGGTAATTTTCATGAGCAGGTCGGTTAGCTCGACCCGCCAGACGGTCCCTAGTCGATATCTCAAAGGCTCTCCTTCGAGACCGGCTCCAACAGACTCTTCCTCGAGATCAGCGGGAGCGAGACGACGCCAATTTCGTATACGCTTCATGTAGTTATTCGAATCCTCGAAAATTCCACCTTCAAACTCTCCAAGAGCTTCGATGACTTGCCTGAGAGCTTGTTGTCTTAGGAATGCGCTGGGCGAGGAATGCACGTCTTCGCCTACTGGCGAGGTATCTCTTGAATTGGATCTACGATCCGACTGACTGATCCTCGTGGGACGGGAAGGAGGATACAATTCGTGTGTCACTTGGACCGGGGTGACTGGTTCGTCTCCCAACAGGGACACCGTCTTTGGTGGCATGGTGCAAATTTCTCGCACCAGGGTTGGGGCACCAATGTTATGGGGATGGGGGAAATTCCCCATTCCTCGATCCGTTCTTATAGTGGGATGACAAGGGTCATGTCTAGTCTGTACCATAACTGGATATGTAATCGATGAGTGATCCCAGTCTTGCCTGGGAGCGGACGATCGAATTCCCATCGATCGCGATTGGTGATGTAGTGAGCTATTAAGGGATTGATGATAGGTAGTCGGAGATACCAGGACAGATGGGTCAGCCACGGGTACTTGGCGCTCCTCAATGGAGCGTACCGTGTGCGAGGTCGCGACTTGTGAGATGGGTGAGAACTTCGTATAGTTGCCATCGGGTACTTGGCATTCGCAGTGCGAACGTACCGGTAGCGGGTTGATATCATAGGCGTGCAATGAGGACTGACTATTAGGGCCTTCGGTGACTTGGCGTTCCCAAAGGGAACATACCGCTGGCAGGGAAACATGATGACTGGCAAAGGAAGAAACAGACGGTGGATGGGCGGCTACTTGGCATTCGTGTAGCGAACGTGCCGGCATCACGGGTAAGTGGGCCTCAGAGTGTTCACAATCTCCATGATCATGATGGGACGTCGTGTGTCGAGTACTGGGGGGAGAGCGTAGTGATGAGGACCCATAGGGTACAGATTCCAAAGGACGAAATTCATGTTGAGAGTCTTCGACTCGCGACCTCGAGTTCTCATGGCGAGGGCCGTTAGAGGACTCGATATAACCAGACATATAAGACATATTGAGAGTTGTACAATCACACGGGTTCAGTTGAGTCACAGGGAGGGTTGTTACAGAAGACGGTACACGAGACAGTTGTAGAGCAGTTGTTAGTTCGCCGGAACCGCCTTTGGCGGTTTCTGTACAAGACACGTGACTATCTACAAATGGTAAGGTTGCGGGAAATCCCGCGAAACACAAACAACCTCGGCCAGCACCAAAACCCCAATTGGGGAAAGCTTTGCACAAGGGGGGGGATAACGGAATAACCGCTTGCTCTAATGCTAAAGCTCAGTCTCAAGCTAATGCACGAGAACAGAGGGAAAAAGGAAACTAATCCAAATGAATGAATATAGTTTGTGGACTTCGCGGATAAGTCCGAAGTGACCAAAATAAGTAAGAAGAAAAAAGGTGTTGTGACCAAGTAGTCACGCTACCACGGGAATGTGGCTGTCCGGGCGAGTTCCTCGCTCGGGTGTGGGAATGTGGCTGTACGAAAACTCGTCCGGCCTCCCATAGCACACGGTTCCTCCAACAGGGGAAAGGGGTAGAATGGGTAAGGAGGATAGGGTATCGGGATAGAGGACAGAAGGGAGAAAGAGGGGAGGAACGATAGAGAGGAGAAGTCTTTGACCATGCGACGGATATGGTCGTTGGAGACTCCGTATCCGTAACAAAGCCCAACCAAAAACACTCCATATCTTCGCAACCGGATGGGTTGAATGGTTGCGGTTTTTTGGGAAAGGTTCGTACTTTAACCCTTCAGACATCTCTCTAACTGATAACCATGGCTCTCATTTTTTATAAATATAGGTTTGACATGTCCCCCTAGGCAGGTTACCAGCCTCCATTAGTTTGTCCAACGACGGGGTGGAATGGGTTCTCACATATATCGAAAACCCTTTTTTGGTTATCTAATTAGGTGTGTGTTCATCATGGTGCTCAGCGCCGTCCCCCCACTTTTCTCAACACAACTGAGTGAAATGGGATGGAATTCGGCAGTAAGTAAGCTATCGTGCCTATCTCAGGCCTTTTTAAATCGGGTCGTGTGCTCATCACAGTGCCCAATGTAGGTTTGACACTGTCCCCCCATGGGAAGAAATGAGTAAAATTAGCCATCACATGTGTCTCAAACCCCCCCCCCCCCCCCTTTTTTTTTAGTTAGGTTGCATTTGTCACGATGTTCAATGTAGGATTAGCACTGTCCCCCGACTTTTAATGGCTGGGTGGAACAGGATGAAATTTGGGTGGTGAGTAGTTATCATGTTTATCTCGAACCCATTTTTTTAATCGATAGGATTCTTTTTGCTCTCTAATTTAGGGGAAATCGCTTGCTGAGCGTGTATGTTTTGGGTGTTCTACAAACACAACAGTATTCGTCACAAATTGCACTTTTCAGCCATGCCAACCTCCGACGCATTCGAACCAACCTGCGAGTACATGCCAAATATAAAGGCTTGTTTGGATTCCGGGGAAGCATCGTCGTCGTCAAGGAGCCCTTACTGCGAAAGGCCAGCCTACAATGGCTATGGATCGCGTCACAAACACCTTAATTTTGTTGGCAAAAGGTTCACTTTAAACACCTTATTCGTCCCTCGCTGGGTCACTGTTCATATTTGAATACTTGTTACTCGGAACTGTCGCCTTCAATTCACATGCTTCCTGCCATCGCCCGAACATCGAACGCGGCTTTGCCATCAGGTCTTGGTGCAGGCGGAAAAGGGCTCCATGTCGTTGCCTTCACTTGGAAGTCGACTATGACGAAGCAGCAGACGCCAAGGCCCAAGCTCAAGTCGTCAAGCCACCCAGAAAAAGGATGTTGGACATTGGGAACGACTATCTCAGTCTTCAGTGAGCGAATGGGCCTTCCTTACACTCGCTAAGTCCCTCAAAGCTTCCTCCCCAGTGGATTAACTGTGATTTGCGGAAATTCGATGCATCCGTCCTCGGAAGTTTTCATGCCATCATGGCGGACCCTCCTTGGGATATTCACATGAGTGTATATAACGTAGATTTTTGGGGAGGTATTTCAAATCATCCTGTCCGGCAGCTGCCATACTGTACAATGCATGATATTAACCTGTTAGCATAGGCCCAAGGCCGAGGAAACTCACACGGCAAATGTCGTTCCATTTGGCGACTAGCTGTTGCTTCAGGGAACGCTGACAGGTCTCCATCACGTCCTTCACAACAGCACGCTCTGCTTCGCTTTTGTACAAATGGACATCAGTCACTGGAACCAAAGTGTCAACGAAACATCAACCAATTCCTTTCCAGCCCGATATTGGGACGCAAATGTGTCGAGTTGGTGCTGAGAATCTAATATGCATCTCTGAAGATCTGGAATCAAATGCGCCGTCGCTCAGTATTCTTCCATATTACTGTGTGACTCTTCTAGCTGACTTGTCAATCGAGCGATATCAGTGCGCTGAGTTGCGTTCCACCAGCTTCTCTTTAATCTCATCTTTTGCAACGGCTATTGAGCGAAGAGCCGAGTTTGTTTCGGACGTCAGTTCTGATGCCAGTGAAGCATTCTGAGCCTTGAGACCAGTATGTTGCTCTCGTAGATCGCTGATCGTCAAATCAGCGGAATCCAACTTTGCAGCAGTGACAGCCGACAATTTCTCAGCATCAGCTGGTTTGGATTGGACAGAGGCCAGTTCGCTTTCGACCTTTAACACTGCTTTGGCCGCCTACAATGAGAAAGGATAGACGAGAGGCAAGCCTCACTTTGTCAATCTCATGACTGAAACTTGCTATGATCTCTTCTTTGCGGTCGACTTCCATCTTCGACTGCGAGATGGTGTTTTGGTACACCTGTTTAGTTGAACGATATCGGAGACAAATCAAGTTACGAACAACATACTCTTTTTCTTTGCGTGCCAGTTCAGCCGCTTGCTGCTGGATCTCTTGTTCCAATAACTGCAATGCTCCATTGAGTATCACCCTCAGGATCGATGCGAATTTTGACAGGAACCTGAATTCTTGTCATATGGTAGAGGGATGCAAGATTGTACAAAAAGATCGCGGACCTCTCCTGATTTGCAATGGTGGTGCTCTCAACCTGAGCCACTAACTTTTCGGCTTCACTTTCCTTCAACGTAGTGCACTGTTTCGCCTTCTCCTGTTCCAATAATAAACTAGTCTGGAGCGCCTTCACCAGGTCATCGAGGTTGGCTATCTGTCCATTTGCTGGAGCAAATTGCAGTTCGACTCCCCGAAGACGACCAAGATCTGTGTAAATAGCTCTAATTCAGTCTTGAACAATGTCTTGGAACCAAGAAGCTCTTCGATTCGAACTCAAAGAGAAGGAATGCAAGCATTTTCAGCCTTGGTGATTCGAAGCTGCATGACCTCGGCCTCATATTCAGTTAACAACTGAATTTTGTGCTTCAGACTTGACTCGGATTCGTGCGAGGCATCGAGTTGGACGCTGACTTTGTCGTATGATTGCGAGCGGCTTTGAAGTTGGGTCTTCGTCGCAGTCAAACTGAAAGGGTGAAGGACAAAACAGGAACTCGGGAGACTCAAGCATACTGCTGCTGGAGTTCTGATGCCCAAGCGAGCACCTTTTCCAATTCTTATTTCTCTTTATTTTCGAGCCTGATCTTCAAGTCGTCTGCCCTAACAGAGAGCTAGCTTAGCATAGTACCATGACATGCTCATCATTGCACAGCAGCACTCACATGCCCTCAGTACCGCCCAGTTGGTGCTCCAGAGTACCAACCCGCATCCGCAAGGCTACTAGGTCATCATTGGCTGATTTGGCCAGGGAAAAGTCTGTGCCTGGGATAGCAGAGCACGAATTGGGATTTCAGTTCCAGAGATTCAATGGCCAACTCCAGTAGAATCTCGAGCTGATTGGTGCATTCCTTCTGCTCCACGAGCCCCCTAGTTGCAGTTTTCAACCTATCTCGAACCATCTTCAACACCTCAGTTTCTTTGAGGAAGTTATCGATGCAGGTTATTAATGTGTAACATTTTCGTTTTGATGTGCTATTATTATTATCTCGGCCCAGGACTTCAATCTCATCCTGCGCTTCTTTCAAGAGTTGTTGAACGTCACGCAATTTGAAGTGGCAGTTTCCATCAGTGTCGAAAAGAGATTTGACGACTTTGAGGTGTCCAGTAATGTAAGCGAAGCACTGTAACAATAATCACGACTCTGAACATCCGCTGACTGTCTTCGAAGTTGAGCGATATCGTCCAGCATTGTTTTTTGCACTTCAGATGAAGCCTAAATGGCCTATTTCACTGTGGATATCCCCGCTTTGGCTGCCAAAACTCTATGCCTGCCTTTCCTTATTATTTTTCGATACTATTTTTTGGGCGCAGCCACACACTAGTGGGATAGTCCTTGGGCAAGTGCTCGTGATCACCACAAAGTTGGGATTTAGTCCCTCTCCCCCTCGCGTCCGCTGCACGCTTCAGGAAATCTGTACATATATCCTCTTGTACGCCATACCGGCCGAAGGCTCTTCACATACTGATCATCTGTGTATGGTCAGTTTTGCAGGTCTAATAGTCTTTCAATTCCTAGGCCATATTCAGTACATTGACTTGCAGTATTCCTTTTTTCTTGCGTCCGCTGTACGCTTCGGCCTCTTGCCACCTTCTCTCCTCTCTCTTGCATCTGCTGCACGCATTGGGTCCCTGTGCCTTTCCTTTCCACTACTTTAGCATCCGCTGTACGCCTTGGCAATGTCACATACGCATTTAAATGTGCCTCTCAACGGAGTTCCAATGTCTGCTCACAAAAACTTAAGAAAAAACTCCATATTCGATAGATTGTGGTGGGTGCGATAGGTGTGAGCTGCATCCATCTTCTATGGAATAATTTTCTTGACTCCATGAATACCTCGAATGTTTGTTGAATCGGAGAGGTTGTTCACCCAGTCCTTCTATTTGATGTCAACCAAAACTTTCTAACTTGATCGAAACGCAAAGTTGGTGGGGGTGTTCCAATGTCTTGCACGCTTGTTGCGCCCCCTAAATCTTCTCTAAGCTCCTCCCAACTCTATTCGCAATTGTCCACAGCATTGGACTGTTCCTTTGACTGAATCATATGGATGGACTTTTGAAGGAATCAAGGACTCCTCTACTACCAGCCTGATTCCCTTCACAGGATACTTTTGCCATGAACATATTCGAGCCAAAGAATATTTGGGATCTCGCCCACTTACTTCCAACACGACAAAACCATTGTGTACCCACTCGATCTCAAACCCAGCAACACGAGCACAACCAAAAAAAACCATCAACAAGAGCCGCTTTCAAGCTAATTGTGTTGCCGGATTTTATGCAAACAGACCCTTTCAAATTAACGCGTTCTGCGATTTACTTGCTGTATAAGACTGCTGCCCCCCACCCAAACTTCCTGTAACATGGCTCCGCACGACTATTCTTGTACCATAGCTTCGAGAATGTAGAGTGAAATAAAGAATGGAATCACATGGCTGTTCCGAAACTCATTATACAGGGTGATTCATCGAATTCGTATATCGTCTCGAATGATTTTTTTTCTTTTTTCTTTCGGACAGAGGGCAAATTGACTTTCACCAATAGATGCACACACACACACATGTATATATAATGATGGTTGTGTTGGAGGAACCGTGTGCTATGACGAGTTTTTCGTACAGCCACATTCCCACATCCGAGCGAGGAACTCACCCGGACAGCCACATTCCCGCGGTAGCGTGACTATTTGGTCACAACACCTTTTGCTTCTTACTTATTTTGGTCACTTCGGACTTATCCGCAAAGACCACAAACTATATTCAATCTTTTGAATTAGTTTCCTTTTCCCTCAGTTCTCGCGCATATTGCTTGAGACTGAGGTTAGTTACTCTCTTTCATTTCTTATATCTTGTAACTTATTGTATATTACCTTACAGCTATCTACTAGGTAATATAATAGTTCTCGCGCATATTGCTTGAGACTGAGCTATCTACTAGAGCAAGCGGTTAATCCGTTAGGTTGAAAGACAATCAGCAGAAGACAAATTGTGGCGGGCAGCAGCATGGGGGTGGGGGCGGGTTTATCGGAACCCGTTTGCGTTGACATTGCTGTTGATGTTTTTCAGTTTTTCAGTTGGGACAAGGGAATTGTTGGCGTGTATGTATGGCGTGCACGTTGAATCGTGGATCGATACCTTTTTTGTTTTCCCCTCAAATTGGGAAAAGGATATGAGAGAGAGGGGGGGGGGGGGCAGCGTTTCGTAGGTTCCATGATGCTCGCACGAGAGAGGAGTTTGGAGCTGCTATCAAAAATGCCTTTGTATTTCTTGAGTTGGTGTTAGGAAAGGGGAAGGGTTGCCTGGCGGATGGAATTAAACAAAAGGATTTTCTTTCTTTCTTTCTTTCTTCCGTGGAGGGGGTGGTGTACCATGCACGTCATGCATGGTGCCCGGTTCAAAGCCCAAATCAAAAGTAACGTGACTCACGAAGATTATTTTTTGCTTCGCTCCAACCCCAAAATCTTGAACGGCCTGATCGATTCAACCAGCAAAGTGAAAGGTCAGACGAGCCATGCACACCGTCAAGTAAGGAGATGAATTTCCCCTCAGCAAATCCAATTTTTGATTCTTGTGCGTGCAAACCGCTCAGCAGGAATGGCCGTAGAAGTCAGCACAGAGTGCAGGGGTACCACCTTGTGAAGGCTTGATTTTTTTTTTCGTCTGGTATGAAAATGCAGTTTTGGTGTGTGTGTGTGTGGGGGGGGCGCTGGGGTCGCGTCGAAAGCAGGGGCAACATACCTGCATTGTTGCTGGTGGGGGGTTGACAGAAAAAAGAACAGCTGACGAAGGAATAGGCCGGGACCGATCAGGAGAAGGTGGAAGAGCCAAGCAAGCGTGAGCGCTCTGAAGAGGCTTCAGAACTTAAAAATTACCATTTCACTGTGTGACTCATTCGTTCTTTTCCGCTCTACCGTTCAAACATCATTTGCTCCTTCTTCCACTGTCTATTATACACTGCCGCCATGCTCTCTGGGTTAGGTCCCATTGCTTCGGATTAGTCGTCTGTGACGCTTCGATGATCTGTAATATGGTGGGATAGTACCAGTCAAAACACAATTGCTCAGACAACCTGTCAGTTGGAGGATAGATTCCTTTATGATTGGGCAATAATCCTTGGAAGGCCACATCTCCCGGAGACTCCGATGGTCCACCCAAGCCCATCGCCAGGAGTTGAGCCGATACGTCATTCATACCTCCCAATATCATTTGAGGGGATGGTATAGCTCCCATCAGCGTCGCGTCAAGGCCCACATTGTTGAATAGTATAGATTGTGGAGCAATTATATGGAGTTCTACATATTTTTTCACTGAAGTGCGGAGTCCGAAACCGGGAATTGCTATCCAAGACAATGGGACAATGGCGACGCTGCCACGCGAGAGTGGATTGACGATACAATTGAGCGAAGATAGTATAGAACCTGAGCTCGGTGGAGGGGATGACGAATTGATGGCCGTCCTGTCATCTGAGGGTTTCCACAACGAGAATATCTTATCATTCGCATCTTCATCGTTGTACTCAAGGCAAACGGAATGCACAGTTGTCGAGGCAATCGCTGCAGGCTGATGATTAGGTGGTTTAGAAACAAGATTGATCGAAGTGGAGAAAGGAGTTGTAGTGGCCTCAGTTGTTTTTGTAGGCTTAGGAGTGCTACGGTGATGAACGGTGGTGGAAGTGATTTCAGACTAGCAATAACAGTGTTGGCGGCTGTCTTGTCGAGTAATTCTCTGTTTAGCGCCGCCTGAGCCTTCGACGAATTTGACTGCTTGGGTTTTGGACGGTATAAATAGTGCCATACTTTTCCATTTCTGGAAGAATCCTCGGACGAGGACAAATGGATCGGGAGTTTGGAGCCTCTTTGATCGAAAGAGCAGTGGTGTGGACTTCGGGCCGGGAGGGACGGGTGCAGCCTCTACATGACATGAGCTTATTAAAAAGAAGCCGGAGAGGATCCGTGGCGGTCTGCGAGACGAGGAAGAGGTATGTTGACATTCGGAGAGAGATCGACTGAAAATGCAAGGAAAATATGAGCAATTCAGGTTGGACCACACGAGCGAATATAAAGATTGAAATCCCAGAGGAACCTTCGGCCTCCCGTTTCCTCTCAATCATCACCCTCTGGCATTGCAGGCATGAGAACCCGATGTTAGCTACGGACTCTTTGTCGTTTTGAATGAGCAGCATGGCATAATTCTGACTTTATATTCTTGACAGCGCTGTGCAGCCGTGATGGTTCGATGCATTTGAGCGGCATGTCAGTGACTGAGCATGCTGTTAGAAACGTCCGCACCTGATGGGGAACTCATCAGGTTTGCTGGGGGCATTCGCTGGAATAGTGCTATCGTGCATTAACGTTGACCATTCAAGTATTAGGAGGGACAACTGCATATGATTCGGGACTCGAGGGAAGGAGTGACAGGCTCTGGGGTGGCAGCATTTGGTGGGGACGGTCATATTCCATTACTGCTGGGACGCACTTAAATGGTTCTGATGGACGTCAGATTGGCGTCAAGCTGCCAAACTCCGGTCTGAAGTCAAAGCCAAGTGAGAGGCCGCTGATGTGAAGCAAGTGGGCAAGATAAAATGGTTCTGAGGCGATGCCACATGAGTGAATGAAGTGGCTAACACAGCATCGTAACTTAGGTTGACATACATGTGCAGAGAGGCAGAATATGGATGAATACACTGAGGAGCTGTCAGAATCATCGTCGAAGTGCGTGGAGTGGCCACCAATGTGAAGTTAGTTACTGCTGTGATCTCCGATCGCGGAGACGACTCCCCTACATTGAACGGTTCAGGAGTGCACAGTGTGCCGTTGCAATCGTCGTCAAAGTCCGCCGAAAACCCAGCGAACGAGGAGCACCGAAATCGGAATGAGTGAGTGAGAAAGGCAAGGGGACCCGTGTGCAGTCAGAATCGTTGTGGCAATGAACGAATCACGAAATGCATGTGTGCATAAGCATGCACAACCCCCACGCAACTTGAGTTGAAAGGGAAGTAGATGGTATGGCAAGACCATGGCAGTTGCAAGAGTCGCTGAGAGGAAAGCAGACACGCTTTGGAATGAACCAGTGATAAAGCCAGGCGTAAAAGCGTGGGAGAAAGCGCGAGAATCTGGGGCGGACCAATGGGATCGCTTCGATCACAACTACTCTGCTCGAGTGAACTCGGTACACCAGCAGCCTCTAAGTTGCTATTTCTAGTTTGCAATCCCAAAGTCCCCACACCCACACTGTCAATGAGTCAGTCCCAGAGATTCCTTCGAGCAAGCAGAGGAGAGGGCGGCTCCTATGCTCCACCGGTCCTCGATCCCCGATAGCAGGTTGAGGCCGCTCATGAGTATCTTTTGGATAAGTCCTTTGTGCATCATACACCGGGGGAACGCAAAGTGGCAGGACAGCTAAAATGGAAATGGGTGTGCAGGGGACAAAACCCAAGGCCAGTGAGGCACATGTCACTCACATCGTCAGTAAGTCACTATCAGAGGACATCGATTGCCAGCCAGAATCGGGAAAGGCAAAGGTCGGTTTTTTCCGTGCCTCATGGTCTCTGTATCTCCTTATGTTTAATTCAGCTCGAGTGGGCAAAGAAGGCAGCGGCATTGATTGAGCGGTTTGGAGGTTTTTCCTCCATCTAGATCATCGTCTGAACAGTCCATTGAATGCGTTCACAGCATCGGATACACCGCACAAGCAGTTCGACAGCCTCGACCTGTGGTTAGTGCCAGCTCTAGTACGTTTCTTTGCCACTTTTTACCCTTATTTCTTGGATTGACTTGTTGTTATCTAGGATGATGAGGACGTAATATGCTAAACGAATTTGGGATTCGACCAATTGCCAATTTCAAAGAGGCTAAGACCGAAGATGGTCAGGTCATCCACCCTCCTGACCCATGTCTTATTGCCCTGCATGCAACCTGTGCATGGGTTCTTCATTCATCTGGTGCCATAGACCATGTGTGGGGGCTTCTCTTTCGAGAACCTGAATTGATTTCGCTCATGACTGAGCCAAATTGCAGTCGAGCTGTCTGAAGCTCTGGAGATGTTGCGGTACATTCGGCACATTCAGCACATTTCCTTGGTGGCCTAATGATTTTCACTTATTTCTCATTCCGCCTAACATTATTCTCTCCCTTTACTTCAATGTTGTGTGTGTTTCCATGTCTCTTACTTCCATGCCAAATAGAAACAAACCAACGGAAGTTGTATCGGCATACCGATGGTGACTTAAGTAATAGCTGTGCCTACTGTTGGAATGAGAAACTTATCCAAAGTTGAAAGGATTGGGAAGGGGAACCTTTTACGTTTTACAGACCAAATGCGAGTCGCTCTCGATTTGCCGAGGTCTATCCGAAACTACTAATCACGGACAGCAAAGTGTAGCGGGAACGGCTGAGGAAGTAGAAATTAAGTATACATTGAGTACATAATGCAGAAGGAGAGTGAGCTGCACGTGTTGCGCCGTAGTGACGATGTTTTTAGCTATACTCGATCTAGGGGGTAGTCATTGGAACCAAAGTACCAACGAAACACCAACCAATTCCTTGCCAGCCCGATATCGGGACGCAAATGTGTCGAGTTGGTACTGAGAATCTGATATGCATCTCTGAAGATCTGGGACCAAACGCACCGTCTCTCGGTATTCTTCCATCTTGCTCTGTGACTCTTCTAGTTGACTTGTCAATCGAGCGATATCGGTGCGGCACTGGCTGATGGTGTTAGAACGTGCGGATTCGGACGACTCCGGAATGGAATCGGAGACTTAGCATGGAAGGACCTTGGCCTCAGCGACTCAGGCGGAGCGCTGTGCCATTGCTGTTTGTCCATTTGGTCCTTAATTTCACAGTAGGTGAGCAGGAAGTCTCTTGGGGGCATTTCAGGTCGATTTCGGACTGAGGTTACAAGTTACTAGGTACATTGTATATAAGGAGGGGTCCGGAATCAAAAGGAACAAGGGTAGGACGAAAGGAGACAAAGGGAGATGGAAAGAGGAACAACACCGAGGGTCAAGTGTTTGACTCAATGGTGTTTCCCAAAGGAGGAATGAAGGGCCAAGGCCCAAGGAGGAAGGAAGGAGGTTGGGAGTGGGGAATGGCTAGCTGACTGAATAGAAAGGAAGCAGCAGCCCAAATAGGAATGAGGGAGAATAGCGGAATTGAAATGGACAATGCAATAGTTGCAAGGTCCGGAGTAAGTCCGGAAAGTCCGAACTCGGAGGTTAAACTCCGGAATATTGGCAAAGGTAATTAAATGGAATGAGCTAACCAATACAATGGGTATAAGCGGAGGTGGGGTCAAAGTCTGAGGTCGGAGCTAAGACCGGAGGTTCCGGAGACAGAGATGCAAACGGGATTCCAGAGCGGAGGTCCGGAGTCGGGAGCATAGGTGTTGCGTACTTGTCTGGAAGGTGTCGAGGTTGGGGTCGGACCCGGAATGTTCCGGAGTCGGACTGAAGGTGGTGTCCGAGCCGGAGGTGGGATAACCTCTTGGGAGTCGGCAAGGAGAAGGTGACGGAAGGGAAGTAGGGCTCCAGAAGTCGGAGTTCGGAGTTCTGGGAGCCCGGAGCGGAGGTCGGGATTGTATGGATATGACAGATGGCTGGGTTGCGTTCCGCTAGCTTCTCTCGAATCTCGTCTTTTGCAACAACTATCGAGCGAATAATCGAGTTTGTTTCGGACTCCCTTGCGTTAAGGAACGTCAGGTCTGATGCTAGGGAAGCATTATGAGCCTTGAGATCAGAATGCTGCACTCGTAGATCGCTGATTGTCAAATCAGCGTAATCCAACTTTGCAGCAGTGAGCCTGCACAAAGTTCTCCGACAGAGCTTGAATATTCTCAGGGTTGCGTGCATTCAGAGCCTCGAGCTGATTGGTGCGTTCCTTCTGTTCCACGAGTTCTCCAGTTGCAGTTTCCAATGTATCTCGAACCACCTTCAACACCTCAGTTTCTTCGAGGAAGTTATCGATGCAGTTTATTAATGTGTAACATTTGGGTTTTGACGTATTATTATTGTTATCTTGGCTCAGGACTTCAATCTCATCCTGCGCTTCTTTCAAGAGTTGTCGAACGTCACGCAATTTGAAGCGGTAATTTCCATCGGTGTCGAAAAGAGATTTGACGACTTTGAGGTGTCCAGTAATTAGGCCTGATCGTAAGAGAAGCACTGTAATAATACTCACAAGTCTGAGCATCAGATGACTGTCTTCGAAGTTGAGCGATATCGTCCAGCATCTGGGGTAGGTCGACACCCCCAGAGCCTGGCACAGCCGTTCTGAGACTGTCCAGTTCTTGACACATTTCCTTTAACGTAAAGGTATTAGATACGGACAGAGTGCATGGCAAGGTAGCGATCATCGGGACTCTAATTCTCGGATGGTGGCAGCCTAAGGGATAGCAAGCAACAGGTCAACCATTCTAGAGCACCGGCTCTCAATGGCATGTACCATTCTCTGGTTCTCAGCCACCCATGACTCAGCAGATCGCAACGCATCAACAGTAAATAGTTCTTTTCTCATACATGCCATCTCTTCGTTCTCTGGCTCGCTCTTCTCTGAAGCTATAAAGTAGAAAGCCGCACCACTTGTTAGTATCTCGTCATTCCTATATTCTGGCCCGTGTATTATGACAAGTTGGATCCCAGCATCTGCAGTCCTATCAGAGGGTTCTAGCAGAGACCGTGCCGCCGTATTTTCTGTATTGGGAAAACACTGTTCTTGTACCTATTAACCTAGTGCATGGATGGCACCGAGCTAGGTCTTCCTATCGGGGGTGTGTTCTCCTGTATGTGGAACCTCCTTATCTCATTCCAGTTTGCGAGCTTCCTTCTCGCGTCCCTCCTTCATGTTACACATGTGGCCAAGTGTAATAGTCGAGCCGGTCTCGGTATCACCTTTATTCGGTATGGAGTGGATCAGACGCTGTCGTCCCGTAGCTGGTGGCGACACAGATGGAAGTGAAACGTTCAACGAAGCGCAATGGTTGGGAGAGCATGACAGCCTAAGAGCCATGACCATACCAGCGACAACTCAACATCACAGCAAATTCTTTTGCCTGCTTTCCCTTCCAAAGGTAAGGATTTAATGAGGATCGAGAAAGGTGAATGGGTGTAAGTCTATAAATGAAGGGGGGAGAAAAACCAGATTGCTGGATCGGAGAAAAAAGTGGGCAGTAATGGAATAGACGAAGCACGAGGGAAGAAGGAAAAAGATGCTGTCGCTCCGTCATGGGTCGACATTCCTGAAATGAAGTGAGTTGCAAGGAATTGCACCGCTGTATGTTCCTTTCCTATCCATCTTGTCAGGGCACATCATCGAATTGTTGTCAACCGGTAAAATGATTAAGCACACCTGAACATTGTACCGTAATAATATTAATATGTTGAACGAGACTTCGAGGATCGCCGGGTGTGGTAGAGTCTCAGCAGGCAGAAGCGAGGCCGGTGCTCCAGGTGAGAATGATGATTCAACCGCGGCAAGGATGCCGGTTTAAGTGTTGCGAAGAGAAGATTGGTGTGGCTGAGCAGCACTCCAATGCTGGAACTTTGGGTGATCCAGGTAGCGCTTAGATTCTGGAGCACAACATGAGCGTGTCTGGAGACGTTGTGCCAACTATAACCCGACACTCAACTTTTGCTGCATCCGTACAAATATACAGTAGGTGACGACTGACGAGTACGTTCGGCACATCGCCTAGAGTGGGGGTAGTGACGCGGCCAGCATTTGGGGTAGACATTAGAAACGACAAGGAACGCAAAATTACCGACACAGCATTCAGGCAGGCTCCTTCCTGAGAAGGCGGTTTGTAACTGTTGCACTGTAACAACGTAAGATGCCACCATGAGGTTTTGCCGTATACTGGCATGGAAACGCAATGAACACCGATCCGTGTCACAAATACTGTCAGTTATACAGATGAAAGCCGATAGCATCACACTGCATGAGGAACCGTCAAGTTTACACTCGGGGTTGGGATGTTAAAAGCGGGCGTCAGAAGCTCAGCATGGAAAGTGGAAAGTCGGTAAGGGAATTAGGCGACTGATATTGCACTGTGAGTACTCTGACGGCGAGAGCTGAGGGAGAAAGCCGTGTTTGTCGCAGCGTTCCAACTACTCAAATCCACAACTTCCCACAGCCCATCCCTGCACGGCAGTCCCGTCCCGAATGGAGAACAACCACTGCAAGATTTGCAGAGGTACAGTTTGTTCCAAGGCACGAAACAAGGTGAAGAGCCAACTGGCACCCACGCCCCCTGTCATGGCTGACACTATAGGTTTCAGAACCTCTATCCTCCAGGCTCGGGGATCAATCGCCGCACACTTTACCGGTCTCCTCAGTCACAAGAGCCTGATCCTATGTTCACAGTGTCGTATGAAAGGCAACAGGCCCAAGACCGGGAAACCATACGGGCAATGCTCACCGGGAGGACTTTACCTGTTGTCCAACACGCCCGGAGTCGTGGTGGTGCAGCGCCAACTGGGTCCCGGGCATCGATGACACACTCATACCAGCTGGCCGCTGCCACGGAAGGATGTCCAACTGGCCTGATGGCCGTCCCCGCTTCTCGGGGGCCTGTACCATCCCGCCTCCCCTGGTCCCTAGGACGCACCCGCAAGCCCCATCCATCCTCCGCTCGCGCTCAACCGGAAGCACCTACTACACACGCTACTGGGGTATTATCCAACCGAAAAGTACGCCTACTATTCCCCCCCCCCTTTTCCACTTCATTGACTTTCTATTCCAGGGAGCAACAAAGATGACAAGCGATGATATTGGTGTCATCCTGGTCACGAAAACATCGATGCCAGCTATCTCTGAGTCTACAGCACCCGTATACTGGGATATATCGCTGCTCAATCCTCAACCATCTCCCAGCCTTTACTCAATCCACTAGAAGTGGCGTCATTTTTCACTGTATTTTTACCATAAAAAGATTTATTAGTTAAAAATGGCCACGTTTTTTAACCAATCAAAAACATGGAAATGAGGTAAATTTCCAGATGCAAATTAATTGTTCTCATTTCACGAGACTAATATAGGCTTTAGCTGAACTTGGGCTCGGCACCACTCTTTGCCGCTCCCCCTCGGCTCTTTTAATTTTACGCGTGGTTCACCTGATAGCAGCCCGAAGCAAAGCTTGGGCGAGCTTGAGTGGCTTGATTGCAAGCATGCAGCGTCAATGGTGACGGCTACCTAAACAGCAGGTGGAAACGAGGAGGATGGGGAAATCTTGACGCAAGTCTGGGAGAAGATATAGTTGATATAGTTGCAACGGTCGTTGCATTTTTCCTAGCAGCGCACATTGTGGGTAAGTTGGGTGAGAAGCGAGCGATGCGGACTTGGAACTCTATGCCAACGATCTGATTGTTGAATCGTTCAGGCCTGCGGAAAAGCAATAGAAGACTAAACACATGCGCAAAGTATAAGAAAAAAAGGAAACGTACATGTACTGTACGAGGACACCCTAGTTCAAGTGGGGTTGCAAGCCCTAGGTGATGACGCAGAGGGCCTGGGACAAAGATGCGAGAGGGGAGTCTCTTCGTCTGGATTGAATTAAGAAGAATGTATGGACTCCGCACCGAGTGCACGTAACAGCCGAAGCCGATGTAACCCGATGGGACGGCGGCGTTGTGGGGCATCATGTTCAATTACATTAATACGACACCATAAAGCTCTGCGGTAGGATAGGTCGACTGACCCAAAATAATCCAAACATAGTCAAGGCTCCCGCAGAAAAAAAAAAGGTTGAAGGAATAAGGTTGAGCAATTAAATCATGTTGCAGCCATGCCGGGCGTTCGCGCCTTGCCCCATGCTACACGTGCCTCATTCGGAATTTTTTTTTTTTTTTTTTTTTTTTTTCATTTTTTCGCGAGGACTCGGGATTGAATGGAGGTGCATTCCGGTTTCCGTCGTGTCCGCCGCACACCGCAAACTCTCTTTAACCTCGCTTACGGCATCCCTACTTGTCGCCTTTCAAATGCTGATTCGGTACGTTGTGTTCTTTTCTTTTGTTCGCGTCCTGTTTGGACTTGTGCCACGCGCGTTCGGCCTATGTGCCATCTTCGCACCTACCGATGTGCTTTCACCTCAGTTCCTTGCGCCTTCTCCACCAGCGATCACTCAATCTTGTACTTTAACCGGGTCGCTCAATATTCCAGAGGCTTCGACGTTTGTCGGGGTCGTCGCCAGCCACACTACTCTATCGCTCCGAGTCGCCCGTTGCGCTACTTAATAACCAATCGCTCGCTCGGGCGAAATGTCGAATGTGTGGGCCATGCCCTTTCCTCGAGTACTGAGTTGTGTGGTTGTCGTACAAGATTGTTTGGCAACTGTTGGCTGCCTCCCCTAGGACCTCACCGAAAAAAAAAACCCCTAAGTGCGTATTTTATTACTATTAAATGGCTTTTTCGCGTGGAAGCTTCAAGCATCCCCCCACTTCGCTCCTGAAGCGAGTTTCTTGTTAAATGTTTGTTTGCATATTCACCCATGTATATCCTCAACGTTTCACTGATTCGTATTTTCAATTTTCAATGAAAGGGCTAAGAGAACCAAACCGGGTCGTTGGTAATTTTTTCTGGCCTCAATGTTGCACGAGACTGCCTCGAGTCGAATCCAATTGTACACATCTCAATATTGTCGTCCAACTCCGAGCAAACATTGTATTCTCAACACTTCGCCCAGAAGCCGAAACTTTCGAATCGCGTGCCTGCTTTGCTTTGCTTCTAAAAAGTATGTTTATCAGTACATACTATTTCATCTTTACCTGGACAAGGATCCTTCCTCATTCTGCTTCAGTGTTTGCTCGCTCTGTAACCATGGCATTACTCGATTGAGAACGTTCGGCATCAAAGGCGCTAAAGGCACATTCTTGCGTGGCTTCCTTTCATATCTGCAATCGAGCCTTGGAGATACAACAGGTGAGCCTGTGGCTGACGCGAGAATTCCCCACCATCTGCTATCGTTTCTCCGACGGCGGTATTGCCATCCACAATTCATGGATGGGTAAACCAAGTGGGGACTATTTCAGCCATCGAGGGATCCTCCATCATAGTTCCACTGGCAAACGAACTCGGAAATGTACCACTTACTAATGCTCCTGCAGCCTTCTACCTACCTTCTACCTTGGGGTTATACGAATATGTCGGGAACATCGACCAATCGTCCGTCTTGGATTTTGGTTCACTCCCCTATCCTGCAGCTAGCTCTTCCGCTAGTGAGTTTATTCCCCATAGCTCTGCTTCCCTCCTCCAGCAAGTGATTCCCGTGCAAGAGGGGGTATCCTGCGGCGAAAATTGGGATTTTCTGATGCTAGACATTACTGTTAACTATGAGCTTGCGGGGCCATCTACTGCGCTCCGTTCACAATCAGATGCCTCCCCTCACGAAACTCGTGGTGAGACTCTGAAAAATGCTGCAAGTTGGAACGAGGATGCTGTGAGTTGCCTTAGAAGTCTAGCTTGGAGTATGGGATACTGCCTTATCCCTCGCGGAGCGGCCATTCCTGGTGGTGGTGCTCTTGTATAGGGGAATTCGTTTGAGGCTAAGTGCCTTGTGTTTCCCTGCACGACTCAATGATGACATGAATTATTCATGTGGGTAGCAATTCTCTGTACCCTTTCTTGAAACATCATCAATGGTTTGGAAATTTGTAAATTCTGCGCTACCTTGAATCTTCGAGTGCTTTTACAGACTCGCGATGAATGTACTTGTTTTCAACCCCTGTGCCTCCATGTTTGCTAATATATATATCCGACTCATTGCTTGCTCCTAAGGCAGTCAACACACTTCATTTCCCCAGAACACTTTTCCTACGATGCAGCTCTGCGTTCATGTCATTCCCGAATCCTCGCATGAGTTGAAAGTGATTTGAAACGTAGACGGCGCATTCTTTTCAAAACCAAGTTGCAATATACTCGTGTGTTTGGAATTTCTTTTTCTTTCCTTTTGTGTTCTACTTTACCACTAACCTACGAGAATATGTAGATTACATATGTAACTGAAGAATTCAACAACGCATGAAAGGCAAATTGATAACTCGTTGCTTATTCCACTTCTTGCCAGGACCCTGCTTTCTCCTCCTGGGTTTTCGCCCTCGTAATTCCTTGTATGTCGCGTGGGATCCTTTCCTGCTTGGGACTGAAATAGAATCTGGGGTGATCGGGAATTTTGGAGGTGTCAAACAGCCAATCCCCTGTTCACACACCCGTCCGAAAGATATCCATAATGTCCATCCATCATTAGCACCAATAGAGTAGCCTGTGAAACTCACCACTCCCTCCACCCTCATCAAGGCTATCTTTTATTTCAGAACTCGCTGGCCCACAGTATCCATTAGCCGATGTTTGACCCGCCCGTTGAGATAGCCTCGGATGGCCATGTCCTGGTTGCGTTCCCTGAAACCTGCTCATGTCAACAGGGGCCCATGATTGGATACTTGGTACCTGGGTTGCCCCTAGCAGATGTAAGAGGACATCAGTCAAGAAGCCTTCCCACCACATGAGCCAGCATGGATGTGAACTCCAAGTGTTTCAGGACAGAATCATCAAACTGACCGGAACCGTTCCAACTCGCTTGCTTCCCCCGGTGACTTCCTCTTGATGCTCCTCGAAAGCACACTCCTTTAGGATCATTACATGGAGTCGGTTCAACAGGACACCCGCGGCAATGATGACATAATGGGCCTGCCATGCCGGCACTCGGTGTTCGCCATGTTGACCTCACAAAGTAGGGGCACTCGCACTTAGATGACTTCGATGCATGCATGGGGTTTACAGTATTAGACTGAGGTGCCAAAGAGTCTGCGTGTGGTTAGAGTACAGAAAAACGTGCCCCCTAATATTCGGGAACGCCCCAGATCCATGATTAGCCCTCAGGGTGCATTGATCATCCAGGTGGTGGCATGAAGCTAACACTCCGGGCTTCGCACATGAAGCTACACTGAACTCATGTGCATAATGTTCTTTCAGGTTTAACTCATCGGAAATACATGAATGATCGTGATAGGTATGTTTCCACCAAGATTTTCGTACAGAACTCGGTGTCTAAATGAACCATGTAACGGCCATGGTGCTCTGGAAGGATCGACAGATAGCCGCACACTGTTTTAAAGATAAAGGGCTATGACGCCTTGACATGTAAGTAAATTGCTAAGCTTACCTCTGGTTGATCGCTGTGAGGGACCTTAACGTCGGCAGAGGCCGGCGATTGAGTTCAGGTGGTTAAGAGACTCACAAAATCTTAGGGTAATCGAAAGTCGCTGAACCAAAGTCGAACTCGATATTACACTAGGGGTGTAAATACAAGATCTCCGCTTTTCCTATCTACTAAGGTTCTAGCTTATATACGGTTCTCTACGCTTATGTAAGCTTATCGCTTACAGTTGCCCTCCTGCGACATTGGCGACTCGCATCTACAAATTAGGGATTAGTCGTTAGAAGCCGTATATAATACTAAAGATAAAGGGAACAATAAAATAAATTCAGAACCTGCACTTACGACGAAGTCTAGTTGTTCTTTGGAGCTGAAGAGCTCGCCTCAGCTGCTCCTTCGGTGGTGTCGACCGAGTGTTCCGTCTGTAGCATTGCCATTGAGAGGTCATTCATATGGCCGATAGTGCTCGAAAGTGAAGGGGATGCCGGTGTTACAAAGTTTGGGGGGGCAACCAATGGCACATATTCCGCGTTCACAAAGAGATTGTTGGGGTCGATTGGCATGTTGTCTGTGTTCACGAATGGGTAGGGAGTCGGGGTTGGAGTTGGGGTTCCTCCACTAGGTCCTGCATTGTCGGTGTGTCGTTCAGTAGGCCTCGTCCCAACATTACGGTATTTGTTTCGTCCGCGAACACCACGTCTGGTGTAAGGACCTCCGCGGTGGGGTGGCACCCGCTCTTGGCTGTGGTAGGGAGATGTAGGAGGGGGCGGTGGGTGCATGAACCTGCTAGGGGAACCGATGACCATGCCAGAATTCAAGATGGCTTGCGCCCCCAGATAGGGAGCGTGGAGCGCATGAGACTCAATCGCATTCAGAATCAGACATGCCAGGAGCAACCCCATCGCAGGGTGTAACGTTTCCCCTCAACGATTATGTCAACTGAAGGTCTTCCCAAAGTCAGTTTAGTATTTTAGTGGGCTCCTAGCAGTCAAGTAAATATGTTAAGAGCATGTGTGCAATGTTACATATTATCATGATTAGGGTGATGATTATCCCGACGGTATGTGAGACGTCGAGGCTAGGGAATGGCGATTTAGCAGTTTCTCGTATGTAGCGCTGGCCTGAATCTCAAAGAGTCAGACTATACAGAAGACGCAGGCAACAAACTCCACATTTTCTACCATTCCAGGGCTATTTATGAAAGTACCGAGCATGGACGCGCACTCAAACCAACGCTTTCCTTCATCAAGCATGTTTGCGCTAGCATGGAAGAAACAGGTTGACATCAACGGCCGAATAGATTTGGCGTCCTTACCCAAGACATTCGACTCCAGCATTGTATGATATAGTAAATGCCCATTCCCTTTCATCCATTGGATACTCGGATCCTGGAATGGCCTGTGAAATGCAATCGACGGACCAGGAATTATGAGTACCTCGCCATTTTCGGAACTCTCAACGGCATCTCGGATAACTTCCACTGCCTGTTCGATGAAACCTAAAGCTTTCTGTCGGGCTGTAGCCCCATTTCTGGTGAAGAGAATAGTGCAGATGGCTCTCAGCCAACGCGAGAATTTCCCGATTGGAATCAAGGCAGCCGTGCAGGATGACCTGTGTTGTGCAAACCTCAGCGACACGTGAGAACGTGCGTTGCGTGACTGACTTCGAGTGCAAGGTAAAGAACTGGGCAATTACTATTAGTCCTTCATCAGGGGATAGACTTGACAACATTCTCACCATCGGTGGGGCAGTCTTTTTCCACCCACTGACGTTATTGAAGAAATGTACTTGATCGACTCTCATGGCAGCTTGGATAGACACGCACCAAGATATCAGCAATGGCTTCACATGTGTCCAAATTCAGCGAAAGGCTGGAGGCGGAAGCGTCCTAACGAAGAGAGAAGTACACAGTGGAGTACCAAGCACATGGCACCCTACTTTGATGGCAAGGAGGACACCTTCCCAATTTGCGAGTTTCACCAATTGTTCCAATTGAAAAAGTTAAACAAAATGAACGATATGACGAAGGCGTTCCTCTTCGACTTGACCATTGATGAGAGCTTCGTGTTGCTGAACGAACCGTAGCAGAGTTTCGGCGTCCTCAGTAATGGTCAAGCGCTGGGGGTGCCACTGAGAAACGAAGGAAATATCGAATAGAATGACTAACCTCTTTTGGCAGAGGATTCGTTTGTCGAGCGGTGAACACTGTGACATCCAACTGTCATGACAACCTCATTGTAGAAGCGTCGTATCAGTGCTGACCTCTTGCTGAGATGGAAGAAAATGAAGCGAAAACAATATGAGCGTGTACCACGGGATCATTGGCATCCATGGACACGTCACGAAACAATTCTAGAAACTGGAGAGGTATCAGATGCACTGGTGTTGCCACGATTCTTACCTCCCTCGATATGTCGAATAACTGGGCAACAATCTCGCTGTTCCATTCTGTTGACACGTCGATGGCACAATTGTATGCGGTACGCCATAGCCACGATAGATCCTTGACAATCATCGCCTCATCTTTTTTGGAAATTGCGACTAGGACTAAAGTTTGTGGAGGTCAGCAGGACATGTGAAGGAACCTCCAGAGCGGTATACCTTTGCGCAACTGCTTCATCAAAGTGTCTACCAAAACAGGACTTGTGAACTAAATTTAGTATATGTACTAGATTAAGGCATCTGACTACTTGCATCTCCGCTGCCGGCTCCTTTAACAAATCAATAGTGAGTCCGATGATGCACCTATTGGATGAATGAGCCATCATCGAAATCAATGAGCACGTCCCACTCACCGTGACAACAGGATTCCCTCGGATCCTCCGTTTGCAACAGGTGCGTTATCTGACGTTTCCAACAAAGAATGCAGCAAGGATAGCCGTAGTTGCTTTTCATGGGCAAGCTGGACCGCAAGGAGCAGTATGGTTGAAATCAGGGGCATTAACGAGCCTCGTGATTGCTTCGGCAGCTAGACGCATTCGAGTGAGCATTGAAGGGTAGCGACAAAATGAGGAAGAACCCACCCTCATCTTCTAGGCCTTGATGGTTGGAGTTGAGATCAATATAGGCATTAGCAGATATGAGCACGCACCCTGATGTATCGCCGCCAAAAAGGAGAGGTAATGTGTGGCAGCCTCATTTGTGGTGCCATCAGCTTGACATCTTTGAAGGCAGTCCACCGCCTGGGAATACTCTCCCAGCTGAATGTGGCATAGCGCAGTCTTCCTGAGACGGTCACAGGAGCGACGGCACGAGCAAATATTTCGTGTGAGCTTAGACAGTACCAGCGTACTGCTCGTGACCATTTGTTGGAGTTGTATAGTTTATCGCCCATATCCCAAAGTACCTACCAAGGTGGTTCCAGACAAATTTCACAACTTTTCAGTACTATAGGCACACTTTGACATGCTCGAGCAGGCGCTTTCCGAATTGGAAGCCAGGCCGGCCAGCGGTGTCGTCACAGGCCGACCCAATCTCCAACGTGGCTCGCTGTTGATTCGCGTCGGCCTTGAGATGAAATCGGATTTTATCAATGAAAGAATGTCCATTGACGTCACGCAAGGCATGATTGGGGCTGAAACGACGTCATGATAAAGAAATAGAATTGGCTCCAGAAAATCACGCACCGGGCTTCTGCAAGCGCTGACATCTCTTGAAGGAAGCTGTGACAGCTCTTTGAGTGAGATGGAGAGCTTGAATTGGGAAGCTTACTCGTTTATGCACTCCTCACTGAACTCGATGGAGTGCAGGAGCCCTTGCAACACTGAACTGAGGTAAGCAACTGGGTCCAAGTGAAGCCACTAAAATCGGCACCTTCCCGGAATTCTGTGTCGCTCGCATTTCGGCGTTTCAGGATAGCAGTTTTCATCCACTGGAGTTGCCGGAACTCCTCCACGATCTCCTTGGACGGAGACCCCTTCAGCCAAATAGTGAACAGCGGGCCGACCAAATAGAACTCAAAAAATTTACCGATTCGGTTCGATCCTCACCAGGAAAATTAAGCTGCTTAATTAGCTTCGGAAAGTGAAGCGTCCGCACGAAACAAGTTGTCATTGCTGTCCGCGGATGACATGAAATATGCGCGGGCTGAGGGAGTGGATCGGTCCGATGATAACCGATGGAAGGGTGGAAACACACAAAGATTCCTTAGAATGGCACGCTGCGCGAGGGAGTAAACACTTTTGCCACATGATCCCATGGGAACGGTGCTTACTGTGGTTGGGAGGGACCCTGAACGTTGCTCATCATCCTGGGCGCTTGATATAGATTCTGGTTTCGCCCTGGTTTCAACCACTTGAAGTGCGATCTTGAGCCACTTCGCTGCAAGTTGCGCCTGCCTCCCGAATGCCCCCAATCATCTGCGTCGTGACCAGTTGCTACCTTCAAAATCGATCTCCCAATGCTCAGAATTCGAACAGTGACATCCTCAACTTAATTCAAATTTATGATCGGCGACGAAGACAGGGCAGTTCCTACTTCGGTCACAGTTAAAAACGCCAGCCATTGCTGATCTTGAGAGTAAAGCTTTGTCAATGGAAATTCAAGAAGCTTGGATGGCGGCAAAACCTATAGCCTGCTGAAGCATAAAGTAGGAAACATTCTCATTTCCATCCTTCCAGGCCTGAAGAACAACAATCGGTCATGTCCGGAGTGAAATGACCGCAAAAGCGGCTTACTGCTTCCATTCGACCTGGATCTCGAATCAATCTCGAATCAGTGCAAGCTGTTACCTGTTAATGATTGGTTTACCAATATAATAAGCGGCCATTGCGGCAGCCTCATCCCTTGTAGCGATATCGCTTGAAGGCTTATTTTCTTGAAGCAACTTTTCATACTACGAGATGATGGTGTGGATTTCGGTTGGTCCAACGGGGGGAGTTTCAAGTTCATCCTTACCACCGCAGCGCGGGATGACACATGAGTGGAAGTATCCACGCGTCCACATGCTACAAGTAACAGATCTAAACCCCCCCGATGCAAGTGCCTACACCAGTGCCAAACGAACAAACCTGCCAATGCGGAACCTGCCTTGCTCGCAATTTGTAGGATGTGGATGAGCCCTAAAAAGTGAGACTATGCAACCCTGTTGAGACACATTCAGGGCCCAGAGACTCACTTTCGGTGGAAGGTCTTGCCTCCATACCGGCTTCGATGAGGGAGAATGCAGCGAACCTTACTCATGACGAAAGGTGTGCCCCATTCATAAAAGACACGTACATGAGGCATATAGTGGAGAAACCTCGCTTCCATCTTTCAGAAATGTCGAGAGGTTCCAGAGGTTCACGCCTTTGGCAAATCTCGAATTTAATGCGAGTCCAAATTAGTGTGCAAAGAGGCACCTTCGTATCCATCAAGGGCCGAAGGCCTTTCTTTGGCTTAGAAGATTGAGAAAAAGATTCGGCTAGAGCTGCCACCTGGTCGAGCATCTCGATGGTGGATGAAGGATTCAGGTTGGGGTGTCCCCAGTTGTCTTTGATCTGAATCAGGCCAGCTAAACGCGTCCATGTGAAAACAAACGCTTCCTTAGAACTCCCGCAAGCACTTTCCAGAGATCTCGTCGAATATGTCTTGAGCAGACGCGCGCTTTCGCTTTGGAGTCATTGTTGTGATGATGATAAATCTGTTTTACGTGCAAAAAAATCGGTGTGCTCGATTCGGATAAGTGACCGTGGAAAGTCACGTGACCGTCCCATCCGCGGTGTTATGACATCGGGTTCTGATTGGTAACGTACGTCGGGTGTTCCTCAGTCCTGGACCAAACCTATTCTCAACCCAACAGGATTATCTAAGTATATCCCAACGCAAGCCCCAAAATACAATGTATCGCGAATCTACTAGGGTTTCCACTACTAAGAAAGGAAATGGTGGCGAGCATTGCATCCGACATAGCCATTCACAGGTAGGGGTACCGTGGTTCGGTTCGGTTCGGTTCAGAGGTAGAATCCCGCGAACCTGAACCCGAACCGGTTCGAAAAGAGGATGGGAAGGCCGAACCTGAACCGAACTTTGGTTCGAACCGAACCATGGTTCAACAACAGTTCGGTTCGGGTTCGAACCGGTTCAAACAGACACCTATAATGAGATGTATTTACAGCGGAATTAATATATTGCAAGAAGTATTATACATCCTCTGCACGCTTTGCTGCCTCCTTAGCCTCATATTCTTTCCACCTTTTGAGTTGTTCTTGAGCAGCCATTTCTTTTGCGTCCTTCTTTTCCTGCTGATATCGTAGCAGGTTGGCTTTGGAGATCTGAATCCGGCCAAGGTGTTCAGGTAGCAGGCGATTGCGGCTCCCAGTATCGGTATGCTTAGCTGCTGAGAATGCCCGCTCACATGGCACGGATGATCCGGGGACTGGAAGAATGTCCCGTGCCATTGTTTGCAACACTGGATATGCGGAGCCCCTGTTCTATGTATCATAGAGCCTGCTGAGTGTGATGCAAGGATTTTTAAAGTTAATATACGTACCTTCCAAAAATCCAGCATATCGGTACCAGGTGGTTCAAGAACATCGCTCATGTAGCGATTCAGCTCAATGTATGGATCGCCAGCCTCGATCTCTTGAGTACGGCGCATCCGGCTGGCAGCAAGACGACGTGATATGGCAAATGTTTGTGACACAGATGACACCGATGTTGACAATCTCGTGGCCTCAGGTGGAATAGTGCTTCCCGAGGACTGAGTCACAGGAGTGATATGGGCTTGATGGTATTCGAGGAACTGAAAGCGGCTCAGTCAGGCCTGGGAAATGGGAAGTAACAACTTACGATCTTTCGCACAGCGTCCATTGCTTTTGGTTGATATTCTGGAGCCCAAAAGTACTTAATGTATGTATCTTTTGTTGCGGGGTCAAGGACTTGTGATAAAAAAGACATTAGAATGATATGAGATGTATGATTTGGCGCATACTAGTACTCAGCACCGCTAAGGGTGATTCATCAGTGGCATCATAGTACTTTCCGAGGAGCGTAACTCCATCCTGAATTGCGCTAGATATCGCAGCGAAGGCAGGGTCTTTCCCTTTGTTCTCCCATGAGGTCATGAGCTCTTCATATGCGGAGAGGAGGCGGGAGAAACTGGGAATATCTGACCCTGAGAATGCTTGCTGTGCATCGCCAGCAACCTGATTACGTGCTGTCGTAAATATAACGGGATCTTCCTAGTGAAATTATATTGCTCTCGTACCTCTAGGATATCAATGATACGCTGTATCATAATCCAATCCTCATCTGTGAATACCCATGATTGGTATTTGGGAGTTCGGCCTCTTGCTTTTGGGACAGAGCTTTTTCGGTCCGCATGCTGGACAAAATGCATAATCGCCTATATGAATAATCAGAACCTGAACACAATTGAATCAAAGCGTCATACTGGTCGTAATTGCACAAATCGCTTCAGGAGCATTAGCCAAGAGCCCCAGCGCGTATTCCCATACATTACAAGCTCCAATGGTGCGATGCCAACTTTGTTGCAGCACTCTTGTAGATAGTGTTTTGCACCAGAGGACTTTCGAATCTAGGAGTAGAAACAGGTGAAATATTATCGTGGTTGAATCGGTTTTCACATACCCGCACAATCAAGGCCCGGACACGGGCCAAAAGGGGACCAACCAAATGCTCCCAGTCATTCGGTAGCTCCAGTCCGGCAAAACTCAGTATATTAACATCTCCAGTATCTTCCCCATCTGCTACCTCCCCGAATTCGGATGTACCACCAGCAAGCACACATATAACAGCGCCAATGGCCAAATTAACAATGTGGCCCATACACCTGCTCAGCTTTCAACATCGGATCAAGCAATAACATTAACTGGCCACTCACCGGACACGATGCCGCGATGGATCCCACTTAATGTTATCATCTTCACTGAGAATCTCGCTGATCACACGCATTGCAACGTCATTTGTTGATGCATTGTCTGAAGCAATATACCCAATCTATGTATACAGTCCTTAAATTTTTGAGGGAACGGAAGAATAATAAAGTGCGAACCTTTGATGTGGGGATCATTTTTTTAATTTCCTTCAACAACCGCCGACCAATGTTGTCCCCGGTATGTGGACCATCCAGCTCACAAAAGGACATGAGGTGAGAACGCATCTTCCAGTTGTTGTCAAGGAAATGGCAGGTGATACCAAGGAACCCCTTCATTGTTGTGGAAGTCCACGCATCAAAGGTGAAATGAATGAGTCCGCTGGTGTTCTGGGTGGAATGTGGCTCTGAAAACTACTGATTGAGAGTCTAAGGTGGGCGTACCTTAAGCTGGTCCTTCAGTAAGGCCCTAACCTGTGTGGAACGATCCAGAATGAGTGTCTCCATTTTCGTGCAATGCGGTAAGTCGCTGTCCTTGTACTTTGGCCCACTGTCTAGCCCTGCCCGTGCATGGTAGGACATGAGATCCCGGAAGGAATGTGAGTCTACGAAGTCAAAGCCCTTTATGGTTCATGTCAGGTTGCTGATTCGCAACATGCAGATGAGAAACTTACAAGGTCATGCTCAATTATGAGATTTTCCACTAGGTGGAGCATACCCTCTGAGGACCACATCTCAGCGTCTGGAGCATTCGCAGGTGGGTAGAAGTTTGTTATTCGTTGCTGGCTTTGTCTACCATTGACACCAGCATTGCATCAACATTTGACGATATTATTGATTTTCAATGAATACAAACTTCTCTGCCAGGAGAACTTGCTTCCGTTGCTCCTGCACTCCTTCTGGGATAGCTCTTCTATCTGGTGATATGTCTAGTTCAATGCAATGCCAGAGGTAGAGTTCCCAGTGTTCACCACCCATATGGCTTATGTGTGTTCGGAGCGTACTTGAGCCTGAGTTTGCGGAGAAACAAATCTTCAAATCTTTCATGTGAGAACCACGTTCATAAGCGGCTCTAGGAAAATAAGCTAGCATAAGTATTTGCTTTAAGGATGATTTATTCACACTTACTGGCACACTTGGCAGACACGGACAGTTTTCCCTTCAATCTCCACCAAGTCAGTAAATACTGATGATAAATCACGCAGTCCGCGCATTTTCTTGGACTCAAGAAACACCTGCGCAACAAGTGCGTCCTGCTCTCTGAATACATCTGTGCTTTCCTTAGCACCTGGAGCATCATTGACTTTGTCATCTCCTCCACTTCCTTTGCTCTGAGCTTCGTCGTCCGCATTTTTATTCTGAGACCTCATGCTGTCTGCTCCCTTGACACGAGCTTGGGCTCTCTTGTGGGCTTGGCCTTTCCCGTGTTGCTTCCTACGCTTCCGGGGAATGTTGTGAGGCTCAGTCTGACTGTCGGAGACATCGGCATCAGACTCAGTGGTTAACAGTGCATGGGACAAAACGTTTTTCCGTCTCTTTCTGGTGTTACCATGGTAGGCCGACAGTTTCTTGTTATTCAGATTGAGCCCGAACTCGGATAATGATTGCAGTGTTGCTTGGGACGCATTTCCACTGCTGCCTGGTTGATTGGAATTTGCTGAAGTGCCAGCCCTTGTTTTTGCAGCAAGTTTTTGTCGCTGAAAGACATCAAGAGGATTTTCTCGTGTCACCAGCTTCACAGTGCGCTTTGGTCTCCCAGTATCCTGAGCCCCTTGTGTCAGGGACAGCTCCGAAAGCGGCGAGGTCCCGGCACGAGGGACTCGATGGGACAGGTGTCAGCTATGCGTAGTGGCGGTCCCGTCGCGGGGTGAGCATCCCCGACCACTTAGGCTGAAGTGGGAAGTTGGTTTATCATTAAAAGGGAAAAGCTATGGTACTTACCTGAAGTGGGAAGTTGAGAAGAAGGCTGCTTCTTCTGTTCCCACCCCAGGCGCTATTATATACATGCGGTCAGGGTCACGTGGAGGAGGCCGCGTCATCTCCGTGCACAGCTGCACCTTCCCGGGTGTCTCTGTGGGAGATCCCGGAGGTAGCCGCTCGGTAGGCAGGAGTGTGCGCGGCGCATGCGGCGATCAGGGGAATGGGGTTAGGTACATAGTAATACATGGAGAAAAGGGAAATCGACCGTGGAATAGAAATAAAGAGAAAGGGGGAAAGTGAGGAAGGAGGGACGGGGGGTGATAGCGGGGGAAGCGGGGTAGGGCGGTGCGGCGCAGGATGCGGGGTCAGGCGGGTGTGCCCTGACACCTTGCAGAAATCCTGGTAAGTCGCTATCGATAATATCTCCTTGTGGACTGGAGATGCGTGGTACTTCATCTGATGGACTGTACACAAATTGACCTGGCTGTTCGGCAGCATCACGCAGATTCCCATCAGGGCCGAGCATGGGATTATTCGGGTCGGTATGCCATCCGGTGTCACTACCATCGCAGGAAGAAGTCATACCAGTGTATCCAAGTACCAGCGAAGTC